GAGGTATTGCTTCAGGGCGGCCCACGCCGTCTAAAATTCACACCACCACGTTGTGAATCAGCCCGAAATTAATCAAGAGCTGATTCACAACGTGGTGTGGCCTCCCCCGTTAGCTGGATCCCAAAAGGCGGGATCCGTTGCCCGGGTTGCACCGCGTGGAGGTGGGGGCAGGACTTTGCGAGGGTTGGCTTAATAAATCACAAACATACATAGCATAAACACAAAACATATAACACATGCAATAAGCACCTACGGCGCCAGTCTAGCTGACGCCGCAGGTACTACCACCCTGGGCAGTCTCTGCCTCAGACGTTCGGCCTCCTCCTTTTGGCTCATCACCGATTCGGCGAACGCCTGAACCAGAGACCACCCCTCCCGGCTTCTCAGCAAATGGTCCACCATTGACCCCACACCGAACGCGGACCCCAAGCGGGATTCCAACTCCTCCCGCTCGTTGGCCCACGCTTCGCACCGGAAGAGCGTATGCAGAGCATTGTCCGCTTCTCCCGGGCGATCCCGACAGTGATCGCACGTCGGCGCGGCTGCCTTCCGAATACCGTGAAGGTATTCGTTGAAGCAGCCGTGACCGGACATCACTTGGGTCAGACGATATGTCATCTCCCCGTGAGTCCGGCCAATCCACCTGTCGAGCCGGCTGGGTCCGATGAGGGACCTAGTCTACGCTCCCGCGGATTCCTCGTCGGTCAGTCGTTGGCGCCAACTGGACACGGTTACGCTCCGGAGTTGCAGCCGGTCCTCCGCACGAAGCGGCTGACCGGTGCTCTTCCGGAGCTCGTATCCGTTGGCGCGTTCGACGGCCAACAGGTCCGCGGGCGGCAGAGAAGCCAGGATCCTGGCCGCCACTCCGGATACGGTGCGGTATGCGCACACCGTCCGGAGAGCGGCCCTTCTCTGGACCCGGTTCAACGCTTCCACGTTCTTGGGCGAGTACTCCAGAATACTCGCCCAGACCGGGGACCCGTAAAGGAGGACCGAGTGGACGACGCTAACCAACAGTCGGCGTCGCTGTTCCCTCGGTCCCCCGATATTCGGCATCAGTCCCGCCAGGCGGTCCATGACCTTCTGAGCCCGCTGGGCCGCACGTTCGATGTGCGGCCCGAACATCAACCTATCGTCGATGAGCAGGCCCAGATAGCTCATGGTCCGCTTCAGCGGGACATCAGTCCCCAGTACGGTGAGCCTAGGAGGAACGTACTTGTACTTTCGCGTGAACAAAACCGCTTCGGTTTTGTCCAGCGCTAGGCACAAGCCGGTCCCCTCCTGCTGGATCCAGTCAGTGACGGCGCAAAGCGCACCGTTTGCCCGGAAACCAGCCTCCTCCGCCGAAGTGCCTTCCGCCACCACGAGCGTGTCGTCCGCGTAGCAGATTATACGTGTACCCCGTGGCAGCGGAAATTGATTTCACGCTATATTGTTTAAACCCAACTAAACGCTAAATTGTACATTCCTAAACAACAATTATATTATGTCAATTGCCACCGGAATTTCTGCTAATAATAAAGATAATTGTCATAAAACGGCCTTTAGTCTGGTGCTGGAGGTGGTAAAAGTTGTGGCTGCCGAAAAACAGGGCTTCAATGTTCTATTATATGTGAACATTGCAATATAACTTGTATTTAGGATATAAATACGGAAATAGGAGATCATGTAGTTTTTGTAATAATCCACTAAAATTTAAAAATTAAACTCAAAAATATTTAACTTTAAAATTTAATATCTAATAAATAAATAAAGTTATTATTTAAGTTTCATAAATTTAAATGTCTATTAAATAAAAATTAATATTAAATTAAAAACTCAAACATTATATAAAATTTAAAATAAATATAGTTTAAAAAAACTAAAAAACACGCTTTTAAAGCACATTGAACTAAAAATTAAAAAATAATTTTTAAAATTAACTTAAAACAATAATGAACGAAAGATACTAGTATTATTGTGAAAAAAAGCGCCCAATATACAAAAAATATGGCACAAAGCACCCACGATTTTATCACAATAATACTAATATTTTTCGTTCATTATTGTTTTAAGGTTATATTAAAAATTATTTTTAAATTTTTAGTTCGATGTGCTTTAAAAGCGTGTTTTTTAGTTTTTTTAAACTATTTTTATTTTTCACTTTTTAGTTTCATGCTATGATAGTAGTTAATATCAATATCATGGTTGTAACGGGTAACGGGAAATCAGGGTTCGATTCCCGAGAGGGAGTCTAAGAAACGACTACCACATCCAAGGAAAGCAGCAGGCGCGCAACGTGGAGGTAGTGACGAAAAATGACGATACGAGAATCATCCCCGTAATCGGAATGAATACACTACATATCTCTTAATGAGAATAAAGCGTATTAATATATAAGTTTTAATAGTAATTAGAATATATATATATAAACATGTAAAGCGACTTAAGTTCGTAAACGTATCATGCACAAGGTATAGTGGTGTTTTGTGAGCGAGTGTGGCGGGGGGTACATTATACACGAGGCATATACGGTGGCAGCGGTGTCTGTATAATACTGTGTATACATATGATGATAATGTGTATACATTACAAACTTAACATTAATACCATGATAAGAAATTAAATAAGGCAATTATTACTTATCACTCTCATTCAAAAGTATAAATCATTTTCATGGAAAAAGTTACACACCTCCAAATTATAGTAATCATGAAAAGATAGCGTTTTCTTCTGTCCTTTTCTCAATACGTATTTCAATGTTTAATACCGTAAGATAATACATGAAAATTCAAATTTTTACAAACTTCAAAACGCTACAGAATATTTACTACTGAATATTAATAAGATATTTTTTTATTAAAATTTTTCTTAAATTCTACTCTACAAAATAGCTATCTCAGATTTTTTTTACATTTTATTTAAAATTTAAAAATAATTAATAATTTTAATAAAATGTAAAAAAATTAATTATTGAGATATAGTTATAGACCTAACGTATAACTATTATTAAAAAAAAAAATCATCTAAAAATATTAACTGGATCAAAAGTTATTTTAGTTGTCATTGAGTGGTGGGCCACCCTGTATATAATTGATGACACGCACGCGTATACGGGTACGAAAACCAAAAATAAAAATATACAGAAAAATATTGTTTACGGGGAGTGGTGAACGTGGTGGGGTGAATGCGTTACGACAGTCTACTGTCAAGATCATATACGACGGGATACGCGACATAATAACACGTACCGCGTGGAGTTACAAACTTACAACAAACAACTAACATACATGTGAAACTAATATAAGCGTGTTAATAAGTGTTCCCGTTTAAAAAAACAAATTTATCACACTTACAAGACATAAGAGATGAATTTAAAAAATATTAAATAGACGATAGTTCAAGAATAATATGTAAATTAAGGTAACCCAAAAATAAAATATTCAAATTATTTTTATTCTCTAAGTAATTGAGTGAGTTATGATAAAAAAATCACCAAGTATATATTTTCAAAAAATATTGGCTTAAATAATTTTAAAACGTATAATAAATGTATAAATAATTGTATGTGTAATCCTAGGATTGGTCCCACAAGAGATTGAAACTTCGTCATATAGACAAAGTATGTTACCACTTTATGAAAAAAATTTATTAAAGAACATATGAATTATTAAGAATATTACTCGCAATTCTGTCGTTAAATAATGATTTTTTCATAAAAATTGTATTTATTTTTATGGACCATGGAAATATAACACAAGGAGTAATGACATTATTTTAAAATTACAGTACACTTCAAAAGCTATAAATTAATATAACTTTAAATATTTCATATATTAAAATCTGGTCACTATGATGCATAATCAAAAATTATCGGTTCATTGAAAGCCGAAGATTTTCATGGACAGGCATTAAAATAAAAACAAAACACAAAATAAAACTAATACTTTCTCAGCTTTGTAAAAAGCTATGATTACATATAGTATAGATTATAAATAAATAAATATGTACATTTAATAAATAAAAAAAAAGCTAAAATTAATTTTAAAAGGTATAATAAATGTATAAATAATTGTATGTGTAATCCTAGGATTGGTTTCACAAGAGATTGAAGCATCGTCATCCAGACAAAGTATGTTACCACTTTATGAATATTATATATTAAACAAAATATGATTTATTAAGAATATTACTCGCAATTCTATCGTTAAATAATTATGTTTTCATAAAAATATACAGATCAAATATGTATTTATTTTTAAGAACCATAGGAAATATCACATAGTGAGTAATGATCCGACAATTCCTATACATCAGTATTCACTCTTATAATATAAGTTATTTTTACATACAAATAGTGTAATTCTGATAGAAAGTATCAAATATCTGGGCACAAATATAAGATTTTTATCACTATTTATCAACAATATTCCTTACATTGTATGCGTTAGAAACTTCTATTACATTTATGTAAATATTCGGACATAATTTTTTAGTTCCGAAAAAATTATTATAAAAAAATATTTCAAAAGGTAGAATTAAAGGTAACTTTCGAAAATTAAAGAGGGACCTATTATTATTTTTTATTATTAAATGGGGAATGTATTGCTTAAAATGTTAACTAATCAATTATAATTGGTAATTACCAACTATGTAATATTAATTTTTAAGTTAATATAATATTTATACATAGATGAGAGGGATGTACAACAATAAAATTATTTTTAGATGTGCTTTATGATAAAAATGCAGTGTAGTGATTCAAAAATAAAATATAAAAATAAATAAAAGTTTAGATAGTGTAATTAAAATGTCTATCTCTTAATGGCTGAATATATTTGGGCTGTTCTATAGTCACAGTTATTTACTACGTATAAGTAGATATCTATTATTCTGTCGGGGTCATGGTTCAAGGTTTCAAAAACATAAAGATATTAAACTAAATATTAATATGTGACATATGAAGCATTTTGTCTGATTTATTGAAATGTAAAACTATTGGTTAAGTATAAAAAGTTACTAATCACAGTTTGACACGGCCCGCGTCGCTTCGTTATACACGATGCCCCGCGACTCGTGCCACCTTTATCAGCCGTCGCCCTACTATGAATATTTGACTGACCAACACCGCGTGTTATACGCTACGGTGCAAAGTCCAGCAAATGCCGCACGGCCGACGACGACCCGCCGCAAATGGTGCGAGAGTCTTCCTCCCGTTGTGAAAGCGACTACGTCGACAGCCGAACCCACCCGCGCACCGTCGCCTACAACGCTGCTAACCATTTTGCCGTCCAAGGATTACGCCGAACATCGCGTCGTCGACGCCAGCGAAAGTGCCGCGATATTATGCGAAGATTATTATTACTGTGTTTATCTTTTCGGTTTGTTTTATTTTTGTTAACATAATCTGTTGTCGCTCATTTAATAAACGGCCCACGGGTCTCTACCCTCAAAACCAGTGTCGACCACATTTTTGCGACGCAAGTCGTGTCAAGTTTTTCTACTCTACACAATAATCATAATAAATTAGCCTTTTTAATTTCTGTAGTTTGTAGACTCCAACTATTTTTCTTGGTAATTTCGAATATCGCACTGACTTTTGATACTGTTTTAGAACTATAATTGTATTGATTATTACACAGTCAATCAGTAAACTTCATATAATGTATATTTAAATTACTTAAGTACTTTAAAAGTAAGACACCTAGATATTACAACAAGAGCATCGTCAAATACTACCCTGCTCACCACTTTTTCTAAATCATTAAATGCTAATATCACAAAAATTAATATTGCAAAATTGGTAATGGACCAGACAAAATTTTATTTAGCGCATAACCCAACCCAACTTTCAACCTTTTTCCCTAAAATTTACCTTGTCAAATATTTTTTTCTTATAATAAATTCGATATTTATTATGGTTCACAAAAATAAATAAAATTTCAATTTGTACATTTTTATGACGAAAACCTTCTAAACAAAAAAGTGTGGGATTATATCACTTCGAGTTATAGTGCTATTATATTGAAATCACTTTTTTTAATATTTTTTTTTGCGATTGTCAATTGTGATATTGTATATTAACCCACCGTAATATAATTATAAGTATTGATGCATGACTGCAATAATTATGCTTAATAAGTCATTCTATACAGTTATGCTTATTTAAGATATTTAAAAAATGTAAGTAATCGTGAATATTACAATAATAATTTATTTTGTTTTATTTTTATATGGAGAGATTAAAAGTCATATTAATATCTATATATTAATATCTTGAATACCATAATTTATGAATTTTGGAAAATATTCCCTTATAAAGTTATTCCACTAAAAAACGTTGAAAATTGATTGCATTATTGCAGAAAAAAATACCCAAAATTGCGCTTAAAATTTTTTTTGATTAATAGTTTTTAGCTATAACATTTTACTTTTAAAAATTACAAATTTTGTAGTATGAAATAGCCTTATTTATTTAAATAACAATAGATACAGTTAAAAATAAAATGTAACAAACTTATAAATCAAACAGGTTTTGTTCGGTTCGGTAAACCTGCAAGAAATTTTATAAAATTAAAAAATAATTAATTTTATTATTTAATAAAAATTTGGGTACCTTAAAAATGATTGCACTGCACGATAGAGGATTTCTTCAGGTTCTCAAATTCGAAAGATCTCCTATTTGAAGACAATAAGTTCTTATATATTGAAAAACTACGCTCCACGTTGACAGAGCTTATTGTTGCATATATAAAATATATCGAATCTTGAATGGATAAATCTTCTGGCAATTGATTTTCCCCAATTTTTTCGCCAGATAATATGTTTGATACTTCTTGTAAAACTTTAAATCCCTTATTTTTGTCAAGAACATTTTTACATTTCTCATTAATTAACTTGCCTGTAATTCCTGACATTGAACTTAATTTGTCACTAACGCTTTTAACAATTTCAATGCTTGTCGCCAAAGGAAGTTCTTGAGTTTCTAATTTATCTATGGTGTCAGGTAAATATCCTTAGTTTGCGTGAATAAAAACTAAATCTGTTTCCAACGATGGATCATCTAATATTTTTTGAGTTTCTTTTATTGAAATTGCGTCATCTGGATTGAGCTATAATATGATATTTTTTATTTCTTTAAAATATTCACAGTAATATGAGACTGATTTTACCCATGTACCCAACGAGTTATAATAGGCTGGGGAGGTAATTGTATTGTCGGAGGTTTATTTTTGAAAAATAATACACGAGCTGGACATTTTAATATTATTGATATTAAATATTTGTTTTACCTTGGCGATCAATTTGTCAACATTTGAAAATCGTCTTCTTATTTCCTCAGCAACTCTATGTACACCATGTACTACGCAAGTTATATGCATCATCTTAGAATAGAGCACTCCAATTAATTTTTCTGCCTTGATCATGTACGGCGCCGCATCACTGATCAAGAGCAATACGTCATTATGGCGTATACCATCAGGCCAAAGAAGAAACATCGATCGTTCAAAGACTTTAGTAATGGTCGAATGGTTTGTTTTGTCGAGCACCTCCGAATTTAATAGGTAAACTTGCCGCGGTTTGTCTACTTCTAATGTTCCAATAATAATATTGGCAATATATCTACCTTGAACATCGGTAATTTCATCCAAAGAAACCCAAATTTTGTGTCCGGCAATATTAGATCTATTTTTGTTCGTAGTTTCAACGTAAATATCATTTACGTAACTTTTTCGTAAAGTGCTTTCGTCAGGAATTTCTTTTTTTGTATATTTTTCCAAAAACAAGCGGAAATCCTTGTTGTTAACTTTGTTTAGAGGAATATTTGCAGATAATAATGTTTGACAAAGATTTTTGGAAAATGTAGATTTTTTTGAAGATAATGTAAGTTGTTGCTGTACTACAGAGGTTGTAGCGTTTTGATGGCGATTTATGGCGCGGCTGTGTTTATCAGTTTTTAAATGTTGCGTGACTATGTATCTTCGATCTGCAGATACTCGAAATTCACATAACTTACAAAAAAGAGCTGACCCATCACTCGAAAATACATTTTTCCCGAACTCATTGACGTATTTCGATAATACACTAGACACTGATTGCTTATTTTTCGGCATTTTTGACGTCAGTACGAAATAATAAGACTCAAATGTAAACTACGAAGAAACACGAGACGACACTTAACGACTGAACACTGTAGAAGTGAAGACTAAAATTCTATAATAAACTTAAAACTACAGTAGTACAATCTACAAATCTCGATGTACCGTCGTTCGTCATATTTACCCCAATATTGTCTTATCGCATTTCCGGTCGGCCACGGTGGTCTACGGAAATCCCGAAATAAGAATCAATACGCGCACTTGAATATTTTAACATACCTCTTACCTTTAAAAAAAAATTAAATTATATTATTCACAATTTATAAGTATATAAAATGTACAATAAATGAAAAAAATCAACAAAATTGCAATTAAAAAGAAAAAAATGATCAAAATTGCAATAACATTGAAAAAATTGCAAAAAGTTGCACTAAAAATTTTTAGATATAAATTCGTACTCGCATGAGATGAATTTAAACCTACTTAGCAACAAACCAAGCAATAGAAAAAAAATTGCAAATGCAACAACATCCGAGTCCTAGTTACTACTCATAAGTGGTACCGAATTTAAATTTAAAACTCAATGTCTATTTGATTTTGTTAATTAATAAACAATAGTATTTTGTATGTTTATATTCCAGTTAAAGTTTTAGTAAAGTAATATTGACAGTAATTATTACTGTCAGTAATTACTAATAATTTAACATAAATGAAATTTTTATTAATTAACAAAAACAGTTTTATGACAATTTGAATTTATATTTTCATACTAGATGATGACACCGAAGGTAGTAACAGAACCCCAATTTTGTAAGCAAAATATCTAAAATTATTTCTGTCTTCACGTTTTGATATTTATTTTTTTTTTACAGGCACAACTTTTTTATATAGACAATGATAAGTTATGGAAATATTGTATAATATAATATATTATACAATACTATATATTATATAGTGTTTATACATGGCGGACCCGCCATGTTCTATCAATAATAATCAATATTGGATCTAGTCAATATTTTGCATTATTATTATCATTTTAATAATTGTTATATTTAGGACTATAAACGTTTTACAATAAGTAATAGTTTTTTTATTTATAAAAAAAAATATTTGTATATTTTTAATTTACGAAAAATGAAACAAAAATGTTCATGATAGTCTTATTACTTTGATGAAATCTTTTGCTTATTATTACAGTTATTATTTACTTTTGTAAACTTCATTGGCTGAATTTAATAAATTGTATGGCATATTAACATTTCTCTAATTAATTAATAAACTTATTAAGTGAATATTAGCTACAGGTTCTTTCTTTTCATTTTTCCAACAAAATCATTAAATATATTATATAAGTTTTAACACATTATCAAATATGAAATCGAGTGACGGCAGCGGCATATTAACCCAACGAAACCCAACTATAACTATGTGATGTGTGTACCTTTAACTATGGAGGGTCCCCATTCCTTAACTAAAAAATGTATTATAATATTAGATTGGCGATTTATCCCTTCATAGAAGGGTAGGCGATGTGTAACCTTACTTATCATAAGGTGTTTTTTATTATAAAATTGAAGTGAAAATATTTATAATAAATATGTACAATTATTTACTACTTCATATGAATTTATATTTAACAATGTAAATTTCAAACTTGAAATTGAGCTAAAAGTTATGATAAAAAATTCAACTTTCTTTTATTAAAAATTTTCAAAAAATCAATTTTAATGACAAATAAATAGCTTAAAAATAATATTTTGTTCTTTATTATTGTTTTAAAAACTATCAGAACAACAAGTTTGAAATTTACATTATTAAATAGAAAAAAATGAAATTGTTAAGATTAATATGCAGTCAGGAAATTTTATAATTACTATTTACATTAAATTTATCAGAAAAATTCGATTTTTTTTACATTTTTATCATAATAGATCACTTAAATAAAAATAATAATAATCATTTCTAATTAACATTTGGTGTTTAAAAAGATTCTACAATGGAAATATTCAGAATTTAATTAATTTTAATGATTTACTTTAACTAAAAGAACCAATAAAAAAAAATTGTTAAAAATATTTACTCAATTGAGCGTATTATAAAATTTGATTATGATTGTAAAAATCCATCGTTAAATTAAGGTGAAACTAAAAATAATTTTTTTTTTAAATTTACGATTTATACAGGGTGGCTCACCACTCACTGACAACTTAAATAACTTTTGATCCAGTTAATATNGTGGCCCACCACTCACTGACAACTTAAATAACTTTTGATCCAGTTAATATTTTTAGCTGATTTTTTTTTTAAATAATAGTTATACGTTAGGTCCATAGCTATATCTCAATAATTAATTTTTTTACATTTTATTAAAAATAATATTTTAAATAAAATGTAAAAAAAAATCTATGATAGCTATTTGGTAGAGTAGAATGTNTAAAAAAAAAATCTAAGATAGCTATTTTGTAGAGTAGAATTTAAGAAAAATTTTAGTAAAAAAATATCTTATTAATATTCAGTAGTAAATATTCTGTAGCGTTTTGAAGTTTGTGAAAATTTGAATTTTCATGTATTATTTTACGGTATTAAACATTGAAATACGTATTGAGAAAAGGACAGAAGAAAACGCTATCTTTTCAATATACTTTTGAATGAGAGTGATAAGTAATAATTGTCTTATCTAATTTCTTATCATGGTATTAATGCCAAATTTGTAATGTATACATATTATCATCATATGTATACACAGTAATCATGAAAAACTGGTAGTAGCACACACAAATAGAGTTAAAAATTATTAACTTACAAAGTAAAATTATTTACTTTTGTAGTTGAATGAATACTTTTATCATATTAAATCAAATGCGACAATAAATACTTTAAAAATATTAGAAATGAATGATTTTAATTGTTACTATAGAAAAAGCTGGTTAAGCTACTTTTTATTTGAATAAGGAATATTTTTTCGATTTTTAAGGGTAATATCTTCAACTAAATACGAATTGTAATCATTTGACGTATCGTTGAAAAAAGTAGGTCTAGTGAGAGTTGGCAAAATAAATCGTAGCCACAAAAAAACATATAGTAAAATAATATTAAAATGAATAAGAAATTTCTTCTCCCGAGGGGAGACTAAAGTGATGGGATCCATTATATTTATTGAAGTTATTGAACCTAAATGAAATAAATATCAAATAATTTGAAAATTTTATTCTAACTCAAAAAAATGCAAATTATTAATTGCCACAAACGGATTTGAACCTCGTACACTAAGCGTGAAAGACACAAGTGTTCTTTGTATTCATTGCATGATAAAATTAGAAATTTAAGCTAATTCAAATATAAAAATTACTTTTTCGACTTTAAAAAAGAGATTAAAATCACTGTCAAAAAAAAAACGCTTCGATGCAAATCTTTAGTTAGTGTTTAATTTTAAAAAATTGGTTGATTATTCCAAAAGTTACATGATCTGCTAGTTCCTTATTAATATCCTAATTAAGATAAAGTATGTCAAATGAAAAAGGGATTATTAAAAAATATAAATCTCATAAAAAAACAACCCAGCACAGGGGGGTCGCTGCACAGTGGAGACGTGGCATAGTTGGGTCAAGTATAATGATATCTGACAGTGATTAAAATCACTATCATAAAAAATGCTTCGATGCAAATCTTTAGAAAGTGTTTAGTTTTAAATAATTGGTTGATTATTCCAAAAGCTACATAATTTGCTATTTCTTTATTTATATCCTAATTAAGATAAAGTATGTCGAATAAAAGAGGGATATAAATATTATTTCTCATAAAAATTTTATTGAAGTAAAATGTAAAAAATTAAATCGAGTATTTTCACACAAAATTAGCATTTGGTAGTCATTTTCACCATGAAGACAAAATAAAGTCCGAAATTTTTCTTTTTAATATTAAATTTTATTACATAAGCTTTAATTTAACATATATATAAAAGTGTCAGACTTTCCGGAACACTTTCAAAAATTAAGTTAAAAAAGTTCTACTCTCTATATGCATTTTTATGTTTTAAACCCCTCCTTTACTAAGGGAAATGGTCCGATTTAAAAAAACAGTATCTCGAATGTAAGATGTATATAAATACTACTTTTCATGAATAATTGTATTGATCCATGCATTTTTCAAAAAGTTATAGCATAATAAAGTTAAAATGTAAAATATAAAATCGAGAATTTCTCACAAAAATAGCCATTTGGTAGCCATTTTCACCATGAAGACAAAATGAAGTCCGAAATTTTTTTTTTTTCATAATAATGTATATTAAATTAGCTTTAATTTAAGATATATATAAAAGTGTCAGACTTTCCGGAACATTTTCAAAAATCAAGTTGAAAAAATTAATTTTTTGTGAAGAAGTTGTCATTTTAAATCCCCCCCTGTGGGCAGGTAAAGGTTCAGATATAAAAAAAAATATAGCAAATGTAAGGAACTGATATCATGCAGCTATATAAAAAAAAAATTATATTGATATGTTCATTTTTGAAAAAGTTACGGCATTTTTTAGTAAAAAAAATTTTAAAAATTTCGAAAATTAGCGATTTTTAAAACACATCTTAGTAAAACCAATACCTTCTCAGCTTCGCATCGAAGCTAAAAGTAAAAACATTTTAATAAATTTTAATTTCTTATGTCTTATGAACTTTATTATATGTCAATTAAATTATATAATATTCATGAAAGTTAGTTTATTCCCCTAATAACATATATTAAAATAAAATAAAATACAATACCCAGAATTTTAGCACAAAAATAGCATATTTTTGAATACGGTAACCATTTTCACCAAGAAAAAAATGTATATTCCGAATTTTTTTTTTTCATAGTAAAGTATATAATATAAGCTTTAATTTAAGATTAAAAAAAACTGTGCTTATTTTCGGAGCATTTTCAAAAGTTTAGTTGAAAAAGTTAGTTTTTGTAAACATGTTGCTATTTTAAATCCCCCCTTGTGAGGAGAATAAGTGTTATATTTAAAAAAAAAAGGGATATCAAATGAAAGAAAATTACCTACAGTTTCAATATAAAAAAATATTTTTTTGTTTTTGTTAATATTTCAATAAGTTTTGGTAGTTTTTAATAAAAAAAACATCACGATAGGAGGTGATTTTTTTCGAAAATATTACATTTTTTTTTTTGTATATTTTCGGTGGCAATTTACTCATAGACGATAAAGTGTTGGGACAAATTTTTTTTTTCATTTTGTAGTATATGACATAACCTTTGATTTGATATATGTTTAAAGGACGCAGTATTTTCGTGTTTACCCATCGATAAAATTATGTGTGAATACAATAACTTATATTTTATATTATATTCGAATCTCATGTATGTAGATGTGGTAAAGGATTGCTTTTGGTCCTTTGGAACTTTTTTTCCATATGTCTCAACAGATAAACATGTCTTTTTGTAGTATGATGGCCACCATTTTTTTAAGTTGTAAACTTAATCCGTCTGAAACTTTATTACTTTGAACTTTTTACTGCATTCATTCATTATTTTAATATATTCATCTGGCACATATATACAATCATGCTTTCTTATTTTTTTTTTTTATAACTCCAAAATCTCGATCGTTAGGTAAAAATGTAAAAGAAAAAGTGGTAAATCCTTTCAAATCGTTGACTATCTATCAATGCTAGCAAAAATCGTATAACGGTATTATTTTTGTTTTGGGTTGAACAACCATCACAAAACAAGTATAATTCTTTTATATCTGAATTAATATTATTATTTATATAATCCAGTACATAGAGTACATATCGTTGGATCCCTTGCAAGTTTCACCCTCATGATACATGTAAAATGTAGATTCTTCAGTTTTCAAATTTTTAATCCCAAAACAATTCACCCATAATTGTCTTAAATAAAAAATGTTATGTACTAGTATGTTTGGTAGAGGTAAGTTTTGCATAAAATCAAAAAGTGCCATCTATAAATTACAGCAAAAACTACACAAGTCAATGACTTGTGTAGTTTTTGCAGTGATTCTAGTTTCTTGTAGTAAATTTTGAATTAAATATGAATCTGACAAATGTAGTTTTTACACAGAATACGTAACCAGGTACATAATTATCAAATTTGACAAAAAGTCATTATTGAAAAATAGTTGACTTATTTTGTTTTTTAAATGACCGATTCAATTATAAAATTTCCTGATTACATATTAATCTTAACAATTTAATTTATTCTATTTAATAATGTCAATTTCAAACTT